TGCATTTGATTATCATATCATTATCACGACTATATATATATATATATGTACATATATTAGTTCTTTCATTTACGTTTAATCTTATTGTTTTTTTTAAGATTCTACTGAAAAAAATTATCATTTGAACAAACTATTTTTATATTTGATTATAATATCATTATCACGATTATATATATAAGTATGTTAGTTCTTTCATTTACGTTTAATCTTATTGTTTTCTTTAGGACCATATTGAAAAATATATCATTTGACCAAAAATATTTTATATTTGATTATAATATCATTATCACGATTATATATATAAGTATGTTAGTTCTTTCATTTACGTTTAATCTTATTGTTTTCTTTAGGACCATATTGAAAAATATATCATTTGATGAAAAATATTTTATATTTCATTATAATATCATTATCACGATTATATATATATAAGTATGTTAGTTCTTTCATTTACGTTTAATCTTATTGTTTTTTTAAGATCATTTTGAAAAAACATCATTTGATCAAAATATTTCTATATCCGATTGTAATATCATTATCACGATTATATATGTAGGTATATTAGTTCTATGATTTACATTTAGTATTTTGAATTGCAATGAGAAGTATCGTCTTATTGTCAGGCTATGACTAATAAAATGCAGTAGAAATCTCTCTTTGTCCTGCGGGGCATAGAAATCGATAATTTTTGTTGGCATCAATATCGTTGTATTCTCTTTGAAGATGTGGCTTCGTCATTGTAGAACTGAAGCTTTTTTTTCCTAAAGTGCACTTTACTGATAATAAGGGTACAATAATATTTTGTTTATAATAACGATTCATAAATAGATTTGAGTTGATAAAATTATATTTGAAACAATGAGTTTTGTCTTTTTAATTTGAAACCTACTTTTTATTAAACTTTCTATTTCTCGTCTTAGATCCAATTGATCTGGTCATTTTGCTTTTGTACTTGTATTCAACTATAAAACCAATGGAAATGAATTCAGCTGATGTTTTACAATGGCTAAAATCATTTATTAATGATGAAAATATCATCAAAGCCTTTGAAGGTAATCTACTTTGTGCCTTTTTTCTTCAGAAAATGTTTATCGAGAAAAACGTATCTACACCAAAAGTGAGATTATGAATGCAACTTCCTGAGGTTATTTTATCTTCTGATGTACAGAAACAAAGCATTTTATACTAACGTTATACTGTTTTGTGTTTCGCTTTTTAGTTTAAGCCTGTAGCATGAGTGAAAATTCTTATTTTCGTCAATTGTGCAGTAGTACTTCTGCATATTATTCATTTGATGCTTTATATACACATATAAATTTGGTTCATGGTAATGATCGATCATTCAAACTCAGATGTGAATTAACCCCATTGTGTGGTTCTATATATACAACATTTGCAAGCTATAAATGTCATATTTATAGACATCATAGAGATCTTATATCAAAATCCCTTGATAAAGTAAACGAATTGTCTTGTCCTGATGGTAGTTTAAATAATGATTATGGATTAGAACCTCAAACCATTAATAATCAGAAAGATTATAGCTTCGAGTTAATGAATGAATATGACGAAGAAACAGAACTTGACCATCCACTTTTTACGGAAACGACTTTAAAACATGATGAAGAACCATTTTATATGAAAAAATTTCAGAAATATTATACACGTTTTCTTTTGGAATTACGTGAACAACATTTACTTTCGCAAAACATCATCTCCTCAATTACGTCCAATATTTCAGTTTTATTCAATATTGTGCTGAATATTATAAAAAGAACAGGAAATGATGCAAATACAACAGCGACAGCCGTCATACCAATAGTAAAAGTAGAAGAAACTATTAATCAAACAATCCGGATGATAGAAAATACAGCCAGCAATGAATATAAATTCCTTAAAAGTTGTAAAGAATTTTTTAAATATGAAGAACCATATGAGTTAGAGTTTGATAAATCGGGAAAGTGCGGTTATATTATTCCGATAAAGAAATCAATTCAAAACTTTTTGAATAAACCACAGGTTATCGATTTATTGATTAAAAATACAAATGAAACAATATTAGCATCAAAAAATGATAAAGACTTACTATTAACATATCGTGATGGAACGGCTGCAGCTGCTAATCAATCACTTCAAAAAGATAGAACTTCATTCTTATTGCAGCTGTATAGTGATGAAGTTAGCGTTACAAATCCTATAGGACCAAAAAAAGATGAACAAAAATTATCATTATTTTATTATATCCTCGATGATTTATCTCAAATTATTCGTTCATTGTTAAATTCCATTGGGTTAATTGGTATTTGTTTATCGAAATTTTTAACTAATCCATCACATCGTCACAAATTTTTTGAAACGATGGTTAATGATTTAAACGAATTACAAACGAAAGGTTTAACATTATCCTGCTTTACAGGACGTTTATATTTTGCATTCGATTTAATGGCTGCAGATAACCTCGCGGCAAATGATTTTGGAGGTTTTCAGAAAAATTTTAACAATGGTTATTTCTGTCGTATGTGTTACATTTCGTACACGTACAAGTCCGTTCCTTTAACAGATATTTCTTTTTTATTTCGATCTAAAACATCACATGAATATTATTTAAATCAAATGTTGCAATCAAAAAATTCGATTTTTGGTATTACTCGTCGATGTGATTTTTCAAATTTAATTGCATTTCATCCGGTAAAATCGTTACCTTTTGACATCATGCACGACTTTTCTGAAGGTAAGTTCAATTGTTCTACTGATGCCCACGTTTCTTTCTTTTCTTTAGGTGTGTGTATGATAATAGTCAACTCCATTCTAAAAGAATTATCAGCACATCGGATTCTAACTTATACGCAAATTGAGAGTAGATTAGAAGGATTTAAATATGGTCAAAATGATCAGTCCAATAAACCACCTACAGTTCGACCAAAACATCTCACCAATAATCACATTTCTGGTTCAGCTTCGCAAAAACTTTTATTGTTTCAAATGATACCGATAATCTTCAATGATGTTATTGATCGTTTAACAGATTTATTACCTATATATATTTGTCTTCGTGAGATTGTTTCAATTGTTTTTGCAACCAAAATAAGAAAATCTTGGCTTCCTTATTTGACATCATTAACTACATCTTTTCATTCGTTGATGCTGGATAAATTACCAGAGAATGTCACTGCAAAAGTACACTTTATTACTCATTATCCTGAGTTGATCAAAAGAAACGGCCCAGCAAGAAATTATTGGTGTCAACGATTCGAGGGCAAGCACCTCTACTTTAAAAAACTTGCTTTAAGGTCGACGAATTTCAAAAATATTTCATTTACTTTAGCAAAAAGACATCAACTTCGTTTTTCTTTATTATTGTCTTGTGAAAATTTTTATAGTATTGTCGATAAACCAATATCAAAAAAAACTCTCAAGCTGTCACAATTACCTATTGAAGTAAAAACTCTATTGGTGCAACATCAATTTGATGCAATAGACTATATCGAATGTCTCACGTTAATTCATCATCATGTTAAATATATAAAACATTCTGTTTTTGTTACAGCTTTGCATCATGAAGAAGAGATTCCTGAATTTGTTCTTATACGTTACATATTAAAATTGAGCAATACTTGGAAATTAATTGTTCAACATCTTGAAACGTTGTCTTTTGATCAAACTCTATGGTCTTACGAGATAACTTATCTAGAAAAATTTTCTATTATGAACTTAGATGAGTGTTTGAATATACTTCCGCATGGACTTGATATTTATCATTTAAAAGATTCATCTTTTGTTAATGTTTTAACACGTTTAACTATGTGATTAAGCTCATCAGTAAAATAAAGAACTTCTGAACTATTTAGGCATTGAATATTTTTTTGAATTATCAATTCAACTTGATTTCTTCAATCTATTCTAAATTTCTTCGATTCTAGCAATTTAATTTTTGTTCTTATTTTTTTTTCGTTTAGAGGAAGACATAGATGGAACTTTGCTGATGAAGTTACATTTTGAAGATATTAAATCTTTATTTCCAAAATTAAAACACAGAACAATATTTATCAATGAACGAGAAAAACTGTCATACAAAACATCCACTAAGAAAGTTGAATCAAATTCAATACTAGTTGATGATGGTGATAATGAAGGACAACTACTATTTATTGATGAAAATATAAAAACTTGTGATTCTATTCCATTTGTTGAAGAAGTCGTTATAGAAAATGCTGAAGCTTCATTATCTAAGTCGAGTAGTACTCATTCTGAGGACGAAGAACATGATGATCGATTAATAGAGAACGAAATACAACTCCAAGAAGATTATGAATTGCCACAATTCCCAACTGATTTAAAATTAGTCGTTGACCAGAAGAATTTCACAAAATTAGCAGCTCATACTTATTTTAGACGAGTGTTGTTGAATTTAGTCTATGATGATATTGCACATAAGCATAATTTGTTGTGAGTAATAGTCGACTGTATATCATTAATTGTCGTTTTGAATTTGTAATTGTTTTCTTTTAGGTATCCAAAAGCACAAGATTATCTGATTATAACTAAAGCTGTATTACGTTCATTAAATATTCCAATAGATGATAAAAATGCTTTGGTGAGTTCGAAAATACATTCTTCTATTCAGGGTGACGACGCAGAGGTCTTCTCTTTAAATAACTATGAAAGAGTTCACGTCCAAAGCATTACTAAGAAACAGCAGTTTTATCTATTCTATAAACATTCTGCGTATTAATGTTTTCCTTTTATTTTATAGTTACTTTTTTCTCTTTTAGAATGAATATCGAGAATCTATCAAACAGAAATTCAAAAATGAACGAAAGCCATTACAAAAGATCAATGCACAAGTTCAACGAAATAAAAATAAGTTTGGTAAAGGTCCTGGAAGACCAGTAAAAAAAACTGATTTAGTTTCAGCTGAAAGAAAGACTGAAAAAATAGTAATTTTCATTTTCTTGTCAAATGTACAATTAATTAAATAATATACTTTTTTTCTTTTCTAGATATTTATTGGTCGATCAGATGATGAACAAGATATGTTCAAGCTTAATCAGATGATGAAAGATGAATTTAATAAACAATCACCTGATATGGAAGTGATAACATATTATTGGAGAAAGACATTTACTTACCGACGGTTATTTACACGTAATAATTCTACTAAAGATGTTTTATTGGAATATCCTAGTTATTCATTACCATCATTAGTAAGCTGCATGAATTCTTTTTTAAAATCATGAATAATTCATCTGTTACTTTTTAGATATTTGAAGAAGTACGAATGACGACCGACATAGATGTTGAACATAATGTAGAATTATTTTTGCCTGCGTTATTTGAAAAAGTACCGGATAATTCTATGTTTATATCAGGTGAAATAGTGTTCAAATATTCAAAATAATATTTGTAGTTGACTTTCTGATTTCTTTTTAGATGTTTTACCGATTCGGCTGATAAAACTACTATATAAGAATTTTAAAGATCCTGTTGTTCATGTTTTAACTGAAAAAGTAATATCGCATTTATTTATATTTTAAACTACATGATAAATGCAACGCAGACTATTTATTAATCTTTGATATCTTCGAAAGTTTCGAAATTTATCTTATTTCTTTTCTTTTTAGGATCCAACAGAACCAACTCCTTGTATTAAAATGTGCGACAATAAATATGAATTATATCTCGATTATCAACTGATTGGACAAACAACGTCTGCTCAACAAGCAGTATCGTTTTTACTTTGCTTATATAATATTTTCGAAATTAAATTCACTCGTCATTCTCGTGGCATTCATTTGTTATATGGAGTTGTTTTTCAAGATCAAAATGAACTTAGTAAGTCGTTGAGAAAGATTCTTTTGTCGTGGGATTATACGATAGAAAATAAATCAATTGCTCATCAACATCAAATGACAACGACGACAATGAAAAATATCAGTGTGATTCAAAATACAACTTCAGTTAAAAGAAATGAAAATGATTCAATGGTAATTGAAGAATCTGAGTTTATTCAAGATCAACAAACAAATAATGTTACACGAGAAACAACACTCACTTCTTCATTTAACAATACACAAAGATTGAGTAAGTCTTAATAAATGCTAAAGAATGATCACCCTTAGAAATGCACTTCATCAACTAAGACGATGAGTTTTTCCAATGCTTATTTGAAAAATCTTAGATTTATTATTTTCAAATTCTTCTTCAATGTTTGTTACGTACTTTGCATTGCCTTTTACTTTAGCTGCTAAAAAAAATATAAACGTAGTATCAACCACGTCAGAACATGAGTTTATATCAACTGGCAAACAATGCACGAATCTTAATGTTGATGAAAATATTTTTCAAACAATTCATACAAATTGTTTTGATACTGAACCAACACCCGGATCACCTCAGCAATCGAAAAAAAAAAGAAAACCACCAGCAATTCATGAAGAAACGACGCGAATACCACCACGCCGTCAACGCAAGAGATCCAAATTAACATAGACTTTTACTCGTTTCAGACTGGAAATTTTTTTTCACGTATTTCGTTCTCATTATGTTTCTTAACATCGTAAAAAGGAGATATAAAGATAATGTGATTTGTTTTCTTCTTCTCATTTCTCTCCTTTTGTACACTGATATTATAATTTTAGAATGAATATTTATTTCGTCAAATCTTCTTCTCTTAAATTCTCATTTATATTGCGATAATGTTTTGCAATTCCAGTCGAAAAGAAATAATTCATCTTGTTTTTTT